GTAGAGAAGGCAAAGATTCTCAACAATTTACTGATTCATAAAAGACAATTCATGTATTATGACTTAGGTAAGTTACTGTAGATGGAAACTTTTGTGCTTTCATAAAAACATTTGGTTTCACTGCAGGTCAGTCTCTCAGTGAACTATACACTTTCAGATATTTTTGTCTGGCTTTCTCACGTATGAGTCAAGTAGGAAAACTATGATTAAAATATTTTAATGCACAGCATCATTTCTACACACTTAAATGGTCTAAATGATAATTTCTGGAAACTATCATAAGGTTTAAAGTTTCATGTTAGTTTCTTGAGCTAAAATTGCACCTAACCTTTTGCTTTAGTGGTTTAGGTACAAAGATTGCTGTCAGTCCTTCTGTTTTAATCAACAGTACATCCTGAAACACAAGCCAGCCTATCACAGAGCCCACATACCCTCTCAGCAGCTGACTCAATGTGTATTAGTCACCTATAATTGAGGAGACTATGCAGACACGCCATGACTTTTTGCTACTGTACAGATGATTGTGAAGCATGAATGTTGCAACATAGCTCAGTGGTTAGTACTGTTACTGATGGAGTGTTTAACATGAAAAAATACTTTAATTGCTTTGGACTGAACTAACTTTTCAGTGAAATGGGGCTGCAGACATCATCTGATGTTATCTGACAGGAATTGAAACTGAGTATTGAACTATGAAACTCAATAACAGAGTCGCTGTAGAGTGACCCCTTGTGCACAATAATTGCAGCCTTTTTTTGTTTTATTCGTGGTTTTACTCATAGGCTGGTTGATTTACAACAGCACATAATGTGACAGATCCTCCAAAACACATGCAACCAGAGTAGCATTTAATTCAATTAAGCTGTAGTTATACATCCAGTTCATAAGAACATTATTCTCAAGGCACCTTACATAATAAGACAAAGACCCCAGGAAGGAAAACCACAACCATATGGTGATCCTTTATAAGCAGCACTTGGCCATAAAGGAAAGAGACAGGAACAGATCTTCAACACAAGCCATCTGCTTTTGTGGTTCCAGGTGAGGGGAAATAGAGGATAAATAAGAAGAGCACACAGAGATAAGGAGGGCACAAATTATGAGAAGAAGGCAACATTTTGTGGTAAGCAGTAGTGCCGTAAAACACATCAAGAGTGAAAAGAGTTTAACAGAGGAAGAATTCTTTTGTGCATCATGGGAAGTCCCATCACATCTGTCAAACAACTCACGGTTACAGCTGTTCAAAACACCACGAGGCTGGCTGACATGATTGTGATGGGCAAGCCGTGAGTGCTCAGACTGTGTTTATTGAACGCAATATGGATGAGATCTTGGCTCTGCAACGGGGAATTGATACAGGGAGTGCAGAATTATTAGGCAAATGAGTATTTTGTCCACATCATCCTCTTCATGCATGTTGTCTTGCTCCAAGCTGTATAGGCTCGAAAGCCTACTACCAATTAAGCATATTAGGTGATGTGCATCTCTGTAATGAGAAGGGGTGTGGTCTAATGACATCAACACCCTATATCAGGTGTGCATAATTATTAGGCAACGTCCTTTCCTTTGGCAAAATGGGTCAAAAGAAGGACTTGACAGGCTCAGAAAAGTCAAAAATAGTGAGATATCTTGCAGAGGGATGCAGCAGTCTCAAAATTGCAAAGCTTCTGAAGCGTGATCATCGAACAATCAAGCGTTTCATTCAAAATAGTCAACAGGGTCGCAAGAAGCGTGTGGAAAAACCAAGGCGCAAAATAACTGCCCATGAACTGAGAAAAGTCAAGTGTGCAGCTGCCAAGATGCCACTTGCCACCAGTTTGGCCATATTTCAGAGCTGTAACATCACTGGAGTGCCCAAAAGCACAAGGTGTGCAATACTCAGAGACATGGCCAAGGTAAGAAAGGCTGAAAGACGACCACCACTGAACAAGACACACAAGCTGAAACGTCAAGACTGGGCCAAGAAATATCTCAAGACTGGTTTTACTAAGGTTTTATGGACTGATGAAATGAGAGTGAGTCTTGATGGGCCAGATGGATGGGCCATGGCTGGATTGGTAAAGGGCAGAGAGCTCCAGTCCGACTCAGACGCCAGCAAGGTGGAGGTGGAGTACTGGTTTGGGCTGGTATCATCAAAGATGAGCTTGTGGGGCCTTTTCGGGTTGAGGATGGAGTCAAGCTCAACTCCCAGTCCTACTGCCAGTTTCTGGAAGACACCTTCTTCAAGCAGTGGTACAGGAAGAAGTCTGCATCCTTCAAGAAAAACATGATTTTCATGCAGGACAATGCTCCATCACACGCGTCCAAGTACTCCACAGCGTGGCTGGCAAGAAAGGGTATAAAAGAAGAAAAACTAATGACATGGCCTCCTTGTTCACCTGATCTGAACCCCATTGAGAACCTGTGGTCCATCATCAAATGTGAGATTTACAAGGAGGGAAAACAGTACACCTCTCTGAACAGTGTCTGGGAGGCTGTGGTTGCTGCTGCACGCAATGTTGATGGTGAACAGATCAAAACACTGACAGGATCCATGGATGGCAGGCTTTTGAGTGTCCTTGCAAAGAAAGGTGGCTATATTGGTCGCTGATTGGTTTTTGTTTTGTTTTTGAATGTCAGAAATGTTTATTTGTGAATGTGGAGATGTTATATTGGTGTCACTGGTAAAAATAAATAATTGAAATGGGTATATATTTGTTTTTTGTTAAGTTGCCTAATAATTATGCACAGTAATAGTCACCTGCACACACAGATATCCCCCTAAAATAGCTAAAACTAAAAACAAACTAAAAACTACTTCCAAAAACATTCAGCTTTGATATTAATGAGTTTTTTGGGTTCATTGAGAACATGGTTGTTGTTCAATAATAAAATTATTCCTCAAAAATATAACTTGCCTAATAATTCTGCACTCCCTGTATACCTGATGACCAGTGAGGGACATTAGCCCGACTGCAAAATCGGATGCAGTTGTTCACATTAACCCAAACAACAGCAAGTTTATTTATTCATGCGGGTGGCTGTGGCTCAGGTGGTAGAGCAGATCAGACTGGAAGGTTGGTGGTTTGATCCTTGGCTTTCCCAGTCTGCATGTCAGATATCCTTGGGCAAGATGATGCGTTCATCGGAGTGTGAATGTGTGTGAATGTAGATTACTTTGTACTTGTGTTTAGAAGTGCTTGAATGGGTGGATGAGGCATGTTGTACACAGTGCTTTGAGTACTTGGGGAGAGTAGAAAAGCACTATATAAGAATCAGTCCATAATCATCTCCTTCACTCATTCGGCTCTGGAACAACAAATTCTTCTCCTTGATAACAGGACTCTGTTTTGACTCTCTGCCCCTATCCTTCAAGGACACCTGCATCAGCCGAGGACTGTTGACTTTTGCTTAACCAGGTGAAAGGACACACTCTCTCTCAAGCTGAACACAGGATACACACACACACACACACACATATGCATGTACACTGATGCAGATATACACTCACCCCCCCGTCCCCATTCCAAAGCCTCTGATGCTTGCTACCCACCTGATGCAGACGGTCCAGTCCAGCACTGGAAAAGGCTGCAGGACAACATGGCTGCTGTCTACACCGGATCATTCCTTACCCCATAGAAGCCTAGACTTCCCACACCCCACCTAACTCCTCCAACTCACATTCCCAGGCAGCTGAGAGATACAATCTCTAGTGAGTCCAGGGTCTGCCCTGGGTCCTCCTCCCAGTAGGATCATGATCTTGGAATGGGAAGTGCTGGTTCTCATTCCTGCTGCTTCACACTCAGCCACAAACTGCTCCATTCAAAGCAGAAGGTTACCGCACGATGAACACATCATCTCAAAAAACCCAAACAAAGACCCTCCACCACCTTGCCATGCTTAGATATTCTGTCCAACACCAACCGGAAACAAGTACAACTTACTACCAGTGATATGAACCGAGCTCTGGCTTTATTTGTACAGGGACAGAATGGTCTGTAAAAATGAGCCAGGCACCCCATTCTCCTCAACAGGATATCCTGAGGGACCCTGTCAAATGCCTTCTCCAAGTCCACAAAACACATGTATACTGGTTGAGCAAACTCCTACCCACCTTTGAATATCCTTGAGAGGTTTAAGATGTGGTCTAGTGTTCCACAGTCAGAACAAAAAAGTCATCATTCCTCCAGAATCCAAGGTTTGACTAACTGGCAGACTGTCCTGTGCCCTGGCATACACTTTCCTAAGGAGGCTGAAAAGTGTGATCCTCTATTGTCGGAGCTCTTCTTTAACAGGGGAACCACCACTACAGTCTGCCATTCCAAAGGCACCCCCTGAGATCTCCACTGAACATTTCAGAGGTGTGTTAACCAGGACAGCCCTACAACATCCAGAGCCTTCAGGAACTCAGGAAGGCAGCATCAAAATAAACCCATAGATATATTATAAAGACATGAAGTACAAAATACAATATTTACATACAAAATATAGTGAAGGAGTAGCAGAAATAAGCTGGAAATAAGCATAATAGATTAATTTTAAATGGTTTCTATGACTCAGTAATGAAACTTTATTTAACTGAGGCTTTTGTAATGGTACTGATGGCTGTAACTATCAGCATGGTTTGAAACAGGGTGCAACAGTACTCTGTGTTGGATTTTTTTACTTTGGAAATGTCTTTTATTTTTTTAAACTTATTTCCTAACTCTCTTTTTTTCTTTAGGGTGGATTTTAAGATTTCTGTCAGACTTGTTTTAACATTAATTTATTGAAGTTCTTTGCCCAAGTTATGATCTCATCAAGTTATCTTGTGTTTATGAATGTTTATCTTTCTCTGGCTCTCTCTGTCAACCAAGAAGCACAGCATAGAAAGGATTAAGGTCATACCATTAATTCAAATGATAAAGCCTTGATAAAACAACTGATAATTTTCCTTCATGTAACCATAGCAGCAGGGTCTCCGGCAGACAACGCTCAAACTGATTCACTGCCTGTGTGTTCAGTGTGGTTATATACTGTCTGTGTAAATATTTCTATCATAACTCAGAGCAACAACTCGCTACTTGAACTTCTGCCTCTGCCAAGAACATGTGATATATACAGATGTGAAACTCCCACTTTGTCTCAGTTAGCAAGCCTCAGCCAAGCAGAGCAACACCCTGTGGAGCTCATAGAGCATACCTGTGTTTGCGGCTGAGTGAGCCACGATGTGGATTACATTTTTTCTAGTTACAATCTTCTGTTTTTCTATGTCCCAAGCTGTGGGTGAGTAAATTTACCATATCATTCCTATGATGTTTAAAGTTGTGTGCTTGTGAGGGAAATACCACTCTAACTGTTATTATCTCAAGGTTGTGGATTTTCTCAAACCACGAGAAAAGTAAAATCACTGACTAGCATCTCAGCTATCAGGTAGCAGGAACGCTAAGTTCCTAGTGTTGATCAAACAGCTGCTTCTCACTTGCCTCTGGAGTTAAATGTCACTTTGATGTTTTATCACCTTTCAGTCTTGTTTAAATCTATTAATGATGCTAATTTTGATCCCTTCACTTCTGGTGTGTATCACTATAGCAGACTACTGTGAAAATGTTCTCCAGGAGTGCCTAAAAAGGCCCACTGCATGGACACGGTAATTCGTTTTATTCTGTACATCTCACATTCCTGCTTTTGAAAGGTTATATCATCTTTCTCATGAATAAATAAACTTGCTGTTGATAAATACTAGTTTAACATAATTGATACAACCTGAAGGAGAGATATGATCACTGTTTATGCATTCACTCCATATAACAGAAGTTACTGCCTGTTAAAATGTTTTTATCTCTACATAGGCTGCTTTTCAGTGTTTTAACATGGTTTCATCATAAAAACGTACTAAGTGTATAATCTTTTTAATTTATACCGTAATCTCAATCAAATGTGACACTGAGGGCTCCTGGCAAAGTGTCTGTGTATAAATAAATATTTATGACATGAAAGGACACTTTGTCACATTTTGAGATGCATTTGACACTCTGGAAGCGTAGGACATTATTTTTAAATTACTGTCAGGGGTTTTCAAAGATCAGTGCTATAATGTGTCTAACTGGAAAGGGTGTTGGTTGCACTCCCCAAAATAACTGATACTTTTTAAAGCAAGTAAATATAATATATAACTGTGAACAAATGAAATCAATAAATTCAAATCACACCAAAGCAGACTGTGAAATAATTGTTTTTTTCTTATTTATTAATTATTTCTATTAGTTTATTGTCTCTGTCTTCAGTTATATCACTAATTTGTATATCTGAACTATGTTAAATTTCTGTTGGTAGTTGTTATGAGGACAAAATTATGACCTGCAAGCCAAGAGGTCGCTTCATGGCAGGCATCAGACAACTCAAAGTAGACTCGCTTCAAGAGGTGAGGTCATTTGGAGCTGAAGTGCTTTTTGGAAGTGAAAAAATTACATTTTATCTGAATTGCTTTATTTTTGTATTAATGAACTCAATAAATAACAAAAACAGAATATTTAAAATTTTGTTTTTGTGTATACGCTTCAGGTTGATGTGAGTCCTACACATGAACATAGGGTTCACATCCCATCATCAGCTCTCCAGAGAAGCAGAGGAAATGTGCCTGAGGTGGAGGTCCTGGTGGTGGCCTCTGTAATAAACAGCAGTCATTTTAAGGTCAGTGACTCCAGAAAGAGAACGTTGATGTCATTCACTGAAAAAATGCTGATCTGTGGGGGTTGCAGGTTCAGTTTCACTGAAGGCCACAGTAGGAAATGAGAAATACTGTCCTTTATATCATGTCAAATATGTACGTCTGGTAGTATATTTAATCAAATCTTAAATTTCCATGTACATATACCCAGAAATCTCACCAGTTTTGTTTCACATTCCTGAAAATGACAAATCAGTTGTGTGGGAAGTTTCATAAACAAGAGTAAAAACATGTTTGAGCATGTAGTTCAGCCTTCAGCCTCCCTTCTTCCCTCGAATTAGTGCACATAAACTTGCCTTTACAGCTCAGGTACAGAAAACAGAAACATACTGGGCTGTATGTCTCTTGTAAATTTGGCAACTTCCTAAAGTCGCTGGTGTCCATCTGTAACTCCACGTCTCTTGTCATGCTGGTGTGTGGATTCAAACATCACAATCACAATGTAAATTATGTTCTTTAAAAACAGATATATGGCGCTCTGTTATACAAACGTCTTCTGCTAAAAACAACCTCAGACTTCCATCTTTGCTTGCATCTGCTTTCCTGTTTGTTCTATTCTGCTTTTTCTAGCTTGTAAGCTTTCAGGTGGTTTTGAGTGTTGAGTCTGTTTAGGCTGTTTACTGCGTGGGTGTGTGTAGTTGTGTAAACCACATACTAACAAATGTGTTAGTATGTGGGCTGAATTTAAATTAGTGAAGGGCTAGATTTGGCCTGTGGGTCTTCATGTTAAGAGGAGAGTTTTTTGCAGTCAATCTCATCCCAGCACTTTGTTCACGTGTCTCACACATTGCAGCTAAGTCCTCGTTCAAAAGGCAGGCAAATACAGTTTCACCGCAGAGAAGGCACTGTGTTTAGGGGCTCAGTCCTATCGGTGAAGGCAGGAACTCTTTCAGTGAATAACCTCCAGCAACCCATCAAGTTAATCTTCAGACATGACAAAGAGGTAAGAAGACATCAAAATGGTTGCAACAGCATCTTACTTTGAAAATCTAATAATCTGTTTTCATGGTATTTCTATTCATTTTTTTCACAGGTGGAAAATGGGACTTGTGTATTTTGGGCGGAATCAGCAATGGGAAATGGAACAGGTATTATTACAGATGTCAGCCTCCAGTATAGTCATTTCTAAATCTAAAGAAGATTTACAACTACTTAATGTATTTGTACGTATTTATTTTATTAGGTTATTGGAGCACTGAAGGCTGTGAAACCAGTAACACAGGAAATGAATTTATTTGCAGCTGCAACCATCTGAGCTTCTTCGCTGTGCTTGTGGTAAAATGATAACCTCTTTCTACAGAATGTAATAAAGCCCTGTGATAAAATCTGCGCTTGTCTAATCAGTGTATAGCAACTTTAATTAGGAACAGCATATGAATTGAGTCTTTAAAGAGTTTGAAGGGTGATATCTTCAACTTAAATGCAAGCAACAAAAGAGCCATTTTCTCTTGGAAGTTCCCACATATAATAACAAATTCTAACAAATTCAATTCAATTTTATTTATATAGCACCAAATCACAACAACAGTCGCCTCAAGGCGCCTTATATTATAGAGTAAAGCCCAACAATCATATGACCCCCTATGAGCAGCACTTTGGCGACAGTGGGAAGGAAAAACTCCCTTTTAAAAGGAAGAAACCTCAGACAGAACCAGGCTCAGGGAGGGGCGGCCATCTGCTGCGACAGGTTGGGGTGAGATAAGGAAGACGGGATAAGGACATGCTGTGGAAGAGAGACAGAGATTAATAACAAGTATGATCCAATGCAATGTCTATTAACACATAGTGAGTGAGAAAAGGGATTGGAAAGGAAAAACTCAATGCATCATGGGAATCCCCCGGCAGCCTACGTCTATTGCAGCATAACTAAGGGAGGATTCAGGGTCACCTGGTCCAGCCCTAACTATATGCTTTAGCAAAAAGGAAAGTTTTAAGCCTAATCTTAAAAGTAGAGATAGTGTCTGTCTCCCGAATCCAAACTGGAAGCTGGTTCCACAGAAGAGGGGCCTGAAAACTGAAGGCTCTGCCTCCCATTCTACTTTTAAATACTCTAGGAACAACAAGTAGGCCTGCAGTGCGAGAGTAAAGTGCTCTAATATGGTGATATGGTACTACAAGGTCATTAAGACATTAAGATAAGATGGGGCCTGATTATTTAAGACCTTGTATGTGAGGAGCAGGGTTTTGAATTCAATTCTGGATTTAACAGGAAGCCAATGAAGGGAAGCCAAAACAGGAGAAATCTGCTCTCTCTTTCTAGTCCCTGTCAGGACTCTTGCTGCAGCATTTTGGATTAGTTGAAGGCTTGTCAGGGAGTTTTTAGGACATCCTGATAATAATGAATTACAGTAGTCCAGCCTGGAAGTAATAAATGCATGAACTAGTTTTTCAGCGTCACTCTGAGACTTTTTTAGAGACTAATTTTAGAGATGTTGCGCAAATGGAAGAAAGCAGTCTTACATATTTGTTTAATATGTGCATTGAAGGACATGTCCTGGTCAAAAATGACTCCAAGGTTCCTCACAGTGTTACTGGAGGCCAAGGTAATGCCATCCAGAGTAAGAATCTGGTTAGATACCATATGTCTAACAAAGTAAGAGATGCTTTTCAGATCTTAGCTAACCCATGCATTCAATTTTTAAATAACATTTGATTGAAGGAGTTTTAATTTAGCACTTCAATTTAAAAAAAACAAAAACAAAAACAAACAAACAACTGAATTCAGTGATTTGCAAATCTTATGAATGCATGTGGGAAAATACCCTTAATTTGAATTTGTTGGCAACAACAAATCTCAAAAAGGTTGGGACAGGGGTTATAAAAGGCTGGAGAAATAAAAAGACAGCTAGAATAACATTTTACCTCTCATTATATATATTCCCAACAGATTTGCCTTGAATAAATTTCTGTCCACAAAAAAAGGCAGAAAATCAATAGTGGATACTCATGATTTCCGGTGGAACTTACATGATTCTGTCATGGAAGTCACTGAATGGGCTGAGGAACACATCCAGAAATCTTTGTCTATAAAAACGGTTCACCATGCCATATGAGAACTTGAAGCAGGAGTGCAGCAGTCTTCTATGGGTCAAAACTAGAGTGAAAAAAGTGGAAAAGTTGTTATAAGAAGAGGTGGAGTGATTTTAAATTATAATACCGAAACTATTTGACCGAGGCCCGTGGATAGGCCTCCATTAAACATCTTAACATAGACTTCATTTCAACAGTGTCTTTTTATGTTCCAGAACCCACAATTATCAGTGAGTAAATCTCATTCGGAGACACTCAGCTACATCACTTACATTGGATCAGCACTCTCCGTTGTCTTCACATTCATCAGCTTGATCATCTATATTTGTCTACAGTGAGTACATATGTTTTACTTGAATGTCCTTTTAACTTCTGCCATGTTTTGATATTTTCTCTAGTACTACATTTTAAAGAGGTGATGTGTTGATAAAGAAATATATTATTGTTGGCTTAGTTCATAGAAAAAATTCTAAAGGTCAACCACTGACAGAAGTTATGTTGTGAAAGACTGGTTTATTGCATCAGTCAGACCAGTTTAAATGTACTGTGTCACATCTGGTGGGAAACAAACACTTGCACATAATCTTTCCTAAAGTGTGGCACCCCACAGTCGTCGGTCAAAAACTGTTCACACTTGACTGATCCTCAGTCAAGTGTGAACAGTCCTGAAGCCCTCTGCATGTTTGCAGACAAAATTGGATTTTTTTTTTTCTGAAGCTGAAGTCTATGCAGTTACATTAAAACAATTTCCCCTAAAGCACTGGTTCCCAAACTTTTTTTGCTAGGCCCCCTTTGTTTTATAAGATTCCCACTGTAACTTCACTGTATAATGAGCTAACATCTCCAAAATTTCAGTAATTATAAGAAGTGTTCATGTGAGATAATGTTTGTCCGTTATTTGGACAGTGAGCCCAGTGCGTGCTCCCGACGCAGGGGAAACCTACCTTGGCACAAGGGCTGGGTATCATCAATGATTTCTAATCAATTGGATGCAGATTCGATTTGATTAAATTTTGCCCCAGACAATCAGAAATATTATAATTCTGATCATTTATCAGTACTGACACTTGTGAGACTTCATCAGAGGTGTGAGCATCACTGCAGACACCTTTGTGTCAAAGTAACTGAGGATAAAATACAGATGGGAAACTGTTTTAAAAAATACACTGAGAGAGAGAGCTGTGCAGGAAGCGTGATTTTATCGTAGTGGACACAAAACGGTGAAAGTAAGAGGGAAGTAATGATGATATTTATCAAATGTGAAGTGTAATTTTGATCTTTTGCTGCCGTTTCAGTGAATTTAGGTCAGAGAGTGATACAACCTGCAGCATCAGAAGCTGTGAGGTGTCAGCTTTCAGCACCGACAGCGTGCCCGTGTATGTGCCGTCGGGTGAGAAAGCCGACATCTCACAGATTCTGATGCGTCGGGTCTGCGCTTTGTGTTCACATCTTTGTGTGGAATCCTTTTTCCTGCCATCATTTACTATTTTAGCTGTTTGGTGGTTGTTGATATAGTTTTGTGAGTTTTAACCCGAGATCCTGGCATTTCTGGCAAAATACATTTATATTTAATAATCGATTCAGGGTTAAATAAATGATCGGAAAATCGAGTTTTGAAACCCACCCCTACTTGGCACCACTGTTGTACAGGTGAAGCCAATGGCAAGATATGCTTCATCACATTTTCTAGTCTTTGGCTTGGAAGTTGGTTCGGAAGCATATTTGGCGATGCTTCATCTTCTGCTTTGTGTTTGTGTGGGAGCTCCGTCAAAAAACCTGTCCATAGCAGTGTCCAAGGCTTCTTTTATTATTCATACCCCACCCCCCTCCGCCAATGGCTTTGCACCCTCCACTTTGGGAACCACTGCCATAAAGGAAGTAGCTGGAAGAAGAAACAGAAAAAGGAGCACTGGATCCTCTGACACTTATCTCCTTGGATTAAAGGCAGTTAGGATGCAAAGATAATCATTATTTTACATAAAACCTATACATTATTAAAAAGGGGTTATAGTCTTCAAATAAATAAATATAGTAGCAAATTATGAAGAAATATCAACATATGGGTCATACTCTAAATTGCTACATTTATTTATTTAAATTTACTTCATTTATCTCTAATATTACTTTGAAAGGGTTTAGTTCTTTCTTCCTCCAGCTTCATCATCTTCTTCCCATTTTTGGCAGTCTTGGTTCCCGCACTCTTGGTTACATATAGAACAGGATACATTATCTGGCATATTTAGTCTGACAATAATTATGGGAAATCACAAGCTTCTCAGTTTCATCTGTGTGGAGTTACTATTGTTAGTGTTATCAAAATTGAGGGTTCAAAGCGAAAGGTTTAAAAAAAGGCCAAATTTCTTCCATTGTTAAAAAAATTGTAATTCTGTTTCTCTCTTTAGTCGTCGGCGTCCTGAGAAGACAACTAATCTGCACATGCAGCTAACAGGAGCAATGCTCTGCCTCCACCTCAGCTTCCTGCTGTCCTGTTTCTCGGCATGGCTGCTGAATGAGGACAGCCCAGTTTGTCTGGTTCTGGGTCTGATTTTACACTGGTCTCTGCTGGCCACCTTCAGCTGGACTGCTCTGGAGGGGTTCCATCTCTACCTTCTACTAAGTCGGGTTTTTAACATCACTTTCAGGAAATATCTTCTCAAACTCAGCTTAGTTGGATGGGGTGAGTAAAGTAAGGTTAAAACACAATTTCGTCAGATGCTGTCAAACAGGCCAAATGGAAATGGATAGTGTAGGTTTGTTGTTGTTGTTGTTGTCGTTTGATACTACAAAGTTGAGAAAACATCATAAATTTGGTGATTAAAATCCAGGTAAATGGCTAAATGAGATTGGTTTGTCCATATGGTATGTATACAGTATTTTTTCCATTTTCTACAACTTTTTTTTACTACAAATACTTCAGTGATTTGCTGAGAGTGTCCAATAATACTATATGAAATTGTAGCATGTGCACAAATGTCGAGTGATTACAATGAGCATGGAAAAAAAAAAAGAAAGTCCAGCAATCAGTGTCGTAATAAAGCCTCAAGGATGGATAGTCTTGAAAGGCTGGTGAGTGGTCTAGATCCACACTCAACTTTTGTTTTTAATTATTTTTCATGTAGAGCAACTTCTTTTTCAATAGAAAGACTGCAGAGAAGTCATGTTTGCTAACATTTGCACTTCAAGCTGTAGCACATACAATTTTTTTTTATTTTATCTTTGTAGATACATTTAATACTTCACTTCAAAATCATTCTATTTCTACTTTTTTAGGCTTCCCGACACTAGTCGCAGTGATTTGTGCGATTTCAGGTGTTTATGGTAAATACACCCTGCACATGCGGGACGCCAAACTCTCCAATACAACAGCACACATGTAAGAAAATATCATCAGTAGGATTTTTATGCATGCAGTGACCCATGAGATTTGATTTCTTAAGACAAAAAAAATCATACTTTGGTGTTAACATTGGTGACATTTATATCCTGCCTCCAAAATGTTTTATATTTATTTAATACATATTTGTTTTTCAACAATGAGCAGATGCTGGATGAACAGCGAGTTCCCGAAGAAGCACCTTATAACCAGTTTCATCACTACAGTGGCCTTTCCTTCCTTGGTGGTGCTGTTTAATGCCTGTGTTATGGGACTAGTTGTGTTTAAGCTCTGGGGGATAAGAAGGGGTAGTGGAGGCTTTGGAAGCAACACTGGCTGGAAAAAGACAAACAAAAACAAAGGCTGGAATTTATGGAAGGACTCTGTTAAAGTGTTGGGCCTCAGCCTTGTGCTGGGGTTACCTTGGGGGTTAACCAGCATCACATATGTTTCACTCCCTGGTATCTATGTATTCACAATATTCAACTCCTGTCAAGGTTAGTATGTGACTAATTCTCGTATAAAGTATGCACTGGATTTTGATCATTTGTGAGAAAAGTTGCATTTTTTCTCTCTTATCAGGTATCTTCATGTTCCTGTGGTCTTTGGCTTTGACCAGGAAGCCTCAATCAAACAATAACTCATCAACAGACACCTGTCAGAAAAAGCTGACCACCAGTTTAAATAACAGCTAAGACAAGTGAATTATCCTGACTTACAAACCCAATTCCAAAAATGTTGACATGGTGTGTAAAAGGTAACTGAAATCAGAATGCAAACAAATGAAACAATTAAAACCTCATATTTTATTCACAGCAGAACATGGAAAATATATCTAGTTTTTAAATCTGATAAAAATGTACCATTCTAAGAAAACTCCCAGCTTGAATTAGACGCCAGGAGAACATCTGAAAAAAGTTTGGGCAGGGCCATATTTGCCAGTGTGTAGGATCCTCTTTTCTTTTATTAGAGAGGAAGCTGCAGACTCTATCACTGCAATATACAAGGTATAAATATGCAATAATTTACAGTATAAAGTGTCTTGAGGTGACTGTTATTGTGATTTGGCACTATATGAATAAAATTGAATTTAACTGAATTTTAGGACGCAGAGACCAGCTGCTGGATTGGCTGTGCCAAATGTTTTTAATTTGTGAAAGGTTCGGACTGGAGACTGGGCAGTTCCACACCTCCACTCTCCTATTCCTATTATGCTGTTGTAAAACGTGCCTCTTTCCATTCTAAATTAGCTTTGAGAGCAGCTGGCAGTCCTCTCCATCTACTACATTTTTATATTTAAACAACTTTTAAATATTTTTATATTATCTACGTTCCACTGTGAATAAAATATGGCTTTATGAGAATTGGAAACCATTGCATTCACTTTTTAGTTGCATTTTACACAACATTTTCTTACATTTTCCCAATGACATTCATATATGGTAATGAAGACTCATTTTATTTGTTGATGGTTTTTTTCTCTTCTTTCTTATTTTGGAATCAAATACAAATATGATTTTTGTTAGTATATTCAACAATTAACTTGTGAATCATTTAATTAAAAAAGCAGTTACTGTGAAGATCATCTATATTCTTTAAACTGTATTATAGGTATAGGTCAGGTAATGTATCTGTCCTACAAACTTAACCTATATACTACAGAATGTTATTAATTATTGTTACTGTTATTGGCTAGACATGGTAGATATTGATCTTCATAAAGCAGGTGACTTCACTGCAGACTAATCAGTTCAGTTATGTACTCTGTGGTATTTTAATATTTCTGCATTGTTTCATCAAGTATACACTCACTAAAATGCTTGTTATGTTAGCTGACTCACTGTAGGGGTGATTCAAATTGTAATAGAGAGACAGACAATAACTGCAGGAGTAAATAACGGATAGGTTGTTTTTGACACTGCCCCCTGGTGACAGTAAACGCCTGCAATATGTTGACAAAGGTCTACATGACTGTCATCAATGTAGGGAATGCGAAAATCTATATAATCTATATTATTTTGCATAACCATTGTTTTACTTTGGGCAGCTGAAGTCTATTTTGTGGACAAAATTGTTGCACTGTTAGGCTATATAAACAGGATTATGAAATTTCACTAGTAAAAGGTCTTTGTAAAACAGTTATTCCACCCGAAACAATTTTCAGGTTAGTGCAGCACCATCTTTGTGTGATAACAGATTTATTTTTAGGTTGATTTTATGATCAAATGTTATATTATGTATAATATTATGTATAATACAATTTTTGTAATAAAATAAGTACAGTTTAAAAAATTTAATCAACACTGATCATGTTTTATTATTATTTTATTAACTGATTAAACCATAGATTGGGATGTTGGACTATTTTTGATAACTATGTTTGAAAGCATTTTTAAGTTTGGCAAAACGTTTGAGAACCACTTGCGACTCTTTTGTCCGGAGACAAAACACTGTAGAACTTTGCAGCTCCATCATCACAAAAACAAAAAAAACAAAACAAAAAAACATTTATGTATTTGAAAAAACAAAACACAGCAATCACAATGACGTAATGTCTAAAAAAAATAGCAGAAGTCCACAAAGTCAGCTTTTAATTGGACAACGTTAACAGGAAGTGCTTTTACTTTGAAGTTTTAAGAAGTAAAATGTTTAATGTTTTATTGAGATAGTGGATTACAGTGATACATTGGAAACTCGTGACAGCAGTTTAGTTAATTTAACTATATAATAATACGAGGAAACGTATCAAGTAAACTACATCAAAGAAATTATTATAGTTTTACGAGTTTCTTCACATTCGTAGTCACCGGAAATAAAAAAGGATTGCGCTCTCTCGTGTTTCCTTTCTTTCCAACTGCCAGACACACTAAAGAGAGACGGAGACAACATGGATCCAAATACTACGATTCTCCGAGTGAAAAGAAAAAGGGGAACCGACCCCGCAGATGCTTTGCTGCTGGCATGCAAACGTATCCGTCCCGAAACGTCCCAGAGCTCAGGCGAAACGGTACCTGAGCCCAACGAAGCCGAAGTGGAAAACTCTGTCTTCAAACTCGTGGCGACCGTAGCAACACAGGTGAGGGGCCCAATGCTATCGCCAGAGCAGCGGTCAGTGGAAGGGGTAGCTTTTGAAAAATAGTGGTGGTGGGGGGTGGTATTTATCACGATAGTTGAAACCACTCAGAAGAGCTGAGTGGGTGATAGCAAGCTGAATAAAGCTGCTGAGAGCGTCACTTACTGTCCGGAACAACGCGCCTTTGTGCTTATTGTTGTTAGCAATCATGCTAGCCCTAGCTACCCCACAAACTGTTGTTAGCTTGTTTTGTTTTTTTTACGTAATTTGGGCCTTGAAAACGAAGTGACAATTAAAATCCAGGCTGTGGTATGACTAACGTTTGAAGTAAATTAAATATTTACATGCGCAATTCAATAGACGAAATAAGACCCATTACGTAAGCTAATTAGATTAGCTGTAAACACTGCTATATACAGTTGCATTTGTTTGTGTAATGTGTACACCGACCACTATGGTTTTCTTTGTGGGATTCGGTAAAACGGACAGATGGCTAATGCATCTTTTTCCACTTCAGTACATTTTGAGAATGCTTCCTTTAGTGAATGATGGGCGCAATGACTGAAAAATTGATATCACAATATTGATTCTGGTGAGCTTTTATATTGGGTTTTTTGTACTCAGTCTTGTGTCAGAAGTAAGCTGTCTTAAAGTTTTTAATGTCATTAGGAAGTGAAATGGGTATGAATAAAACCACAGCCAAAATGAGGAATACACCACTCCTAGGCTCTGATGAAAAAGTTAACTATTTGGGAGGCGGATAAGGAGTCTCTCCTTAACAGGCTTTTCTGTCTTTTCTGCATTTTTAGGTGCGTGTAATGTCTTTTTATTTTTTTAACAGTAGGCTTTTCCTGGTGATAACTATGCTTTGGGAGGTGACCAAGCAAATAACCATAATTGAGTCACATACAGTTAAGGCAAAGACTCTTTGTTACCTTACATATTTCTCTGGATTTTCCTTTTATTTCTTGCCATTTGATGAATGTTGATTGTCATTTTTGTGCTAGACCAAATTGTCTTTTGAGGGCACCAAACATTTCTATGCGCAGAGAAAATTCTGGTCATTGTGTTTTCAACATGTGAATCTTGCATCTTTGCACATGTCCTATTGCTACTATTGTCTATTGTTACAAATTGGTTGTTTCCCCGTTGTAGAAAATTGGATGTGGGGTTTTTAATTGTTGGATTTCGATAATATTTGCATTAAATTAGTGGAACCGCGAGTAAGATGAGTGTGCAGTTCCGGCAGCTTCTATGAGTTGGGAATTAAAAGGGAAATCCATATTTATGTTAAAGCCTCGTGAGTTGTTATCTTTGTCATTCCATCACCAGGAAGCTCCCGTTCAGACGCAGGTTCGACAGGCTTTGGCTCGGCCTCGCACGGCGCATGCACTGCGTCCCTCTGCTGCCAGCTCACAGCGGATACTTGGTGATTTACGCAGCACAAAGTGGAGTACTCGGAGAGAGGAACGCTACAGAATACTCTCAAGCCACCGTGCTGGTCTGTCAGCCCCAGCAGAGCAACAGACACCACAGATGGGTGCTTCTGAGTGTGTAGAGGAAACGGGGAAAGAGACGGACAAATGCTGGGGGCTGGGTGAAATCCAGGTGGTGGATCTGATCCATGAGGATGGAGAGGACCAGGATAAACCTTCAGGCAAGGTAAGTTGATAGTTGTAGATTCTGGGTTTTGTTTGCAGCAGTTGTCCTAGTGCTGTTTGGCAAGCGTACTCATGAACAGCCCAATCATCAGTTATTATACTCAATTTAGGGTCCTGATATGTTGCACCTTTTTCACTTAGTGGAGGCTAAATTACAGAAACAGTCAGTTAAAAAAATAAATACCATGCTGCCGTCAGACTGTTAAAAACCATAAGTGGTTGTCCTCATAGGGCTGCTTGATTGTATTTGGGATTGTTTAACACAGATTATCATTTTACCAGAATTTACCAGGCATTAAGCTTTTACTGAACACAATTGTGCAGTTTAACAAGTGCTTTTCAGAAGGCAGATGCTACAAATATCAATATAATTCAGTTGCTGAGAGTCATCCAGTCTTAGCTCAACCACATGGCTAGCACAATCATCAACTGTTACTGACGCTATTATCATTGGTCGGTCTCACAGATCCAATCTTCTGATTTCTCATCGTGTCAGCACATTTCCTATTCTGTTAAGTAAGGATTGTCCTGGTAATTCATTTACTAGTCATTAGAAATTAGAGGAAAAAAAAACATTAACTGGTCAAAAGTAAGAAATTGTTCAGCAAACAGGCAGAATTGTTAAACAAATAGTGCATGTTTATTTAAAAACCTTTTGGAAGTGCATTCTTCCCCAATCGAATCACATTGATCTCTGGTCTTGCAATGTTGGATTGGAAGTGTGGCTAGTGTTAGCAGGGCTAGCAGGAGCAGCAGCAATCTTTCCTTGGAGTTTAAAAACCATGCACGAACAACACTGCATTACTCCAGTTGAGCTTTCACTGCTGACAAATAGACAGGGAGGGAGAGAGAGAGACACACACACACACACACACACACACACACTGCAGGCCTAGCTAGTTCTAGACCAGGGGTGTCAAACTCAAATACACAGTGGGCCAAAATTCAAAACTGGAACAAAGTCGCGGGCTAACGTTAATATTTATTGAAACATATTTATTCCTCCAGATATAAGAATGAATCTTTTCTTATGGACTCAAACACGTTTTGCTGAAAAACTGAATATGGAACAAGCAAAACTTAATACTAAACAATATATACATTAGCTGTATAATACCAGTAGGCCAGCTCTAATAGTAATTTGGTATGGCTTCGCGGGCCAAATGTAATTAGTCTGCGGGCCAAATTTGGTGTCTGATCGAAGAGTCACGTTCATTTGGCTTTTTAAGAAGCGTTCAGGCTCGACCGTTTCAGTCACAATTTCAGTCGTGTGCTTCAGCTGTAGGAAAGATCACTTACTTTAGTGAGAATGTCTGGAGTTACTGCAGCCACTGGTATTACACTGCCTACCAGCAAACACATGAAGCTCACAACTTGCCTCTTCCTAACAGCATGTGTTTTGATAGCTACTGGTAAACAGCTGTGAGATTTTTAATTTTTTTTCAGTATTGATGTAAATGTCATTTAATTTGCCATTAGGCCCAACTAGACTGACTATCAGCTCATTAATTTGTTCCATTTCTAATCACTTGCTTTATTTTTCTAAAGATACTGTCCTCAGAACCAGATGAGATTCTCTGTAACAACACCAAGATGCTGCGGGAGCGTCTGAGCATATCTGGAGATAGACTGGGGGAAGAGCACCGAGAGCAGGACGATGGCTACGTCTATGATCTTTACTACCAGGAAACGGTCACCCCAGGGTGGATCCAGGACATCCTGTCTGTCAGAGCCTATGCTGATGAGGGAGAACTGGTGTGTGTGGATGGATGGACGGACAGATGAATGAGTGCTGAAATTGGAGTGAGTGAATGGGTGGAGTGGTCCAAATTTTACAGTGGGGCAAAAAAGTATTTAGTCAGCCACCGATTGTGCAAGTTCCCCCACTTAAAATGATGACAGAGGTCAGTAATTTGCACCAGAGGTACACTTCAACTGTGAGAGACAGAATGTGGAAAAAAAAAAATCCATGAATCCACATGGTAGGATTTGTAAAGAATTTATTCGTAAATCAGGGTGGAAAATAAGTATTTGGTCAATAACAAAAATACAACTCAATACTTTGTAACATAACCTTTGTTGGCAATAACAGAGGTCAAACGTTTACTATAGGTCTTTACCAGGTTTGCACACACAGTAGCTGGTATTTTGGCCCATTCCTCCATGCAGATCTTCTCGAGAGCAGTGATGTTTTGGGGCTGTCGCCGAGCAACACGGACTTTCAACTCCCGCCACAGATTTTCTATGGGGTTGAGGTCTGGAGACTGGCTAGGCCACTCCAGGACTTTCAAATGCTTCTTACAGAGCCACTCCTTTGTTGCCCGGGCGGTGTGTTTTGGATCATTGTCATGTTGGAAGACCCAGCCTCGTTTCATCTTCAAAGTTCTCACTGATGGAAGGAGGTTTTGGCTCAAAATCTCACGATACATGGCCCCATTCATTCTGTCCTTAACACGGATCAGTCGTCCTGTCCCCTTGGCAGAAAAACAGCCCCATAGCATGATGTTTCCACCCCCATGCTTCACAGTAGGTATGGTGTTCTTGGGCTGCAACTCAGTATTCTTCTTCCTCCAAACACGACGAGTTGAGTTTATACCAAAAAGTTCTACTTTGGTTTCATCTGACCACATGACATTCTCCCAATCCTCTGCTGTATCATCCATGTGCTCTCTGGCAAACTTCAGACGGGCCTGGACATACACTGGCTTCAGCAGCGGAACACGTCTGGCACTGCGGGATTTGATTCCCTGCCGTTGTGGTGTGTTACTGATGGTGACCTTTGTTACTTTGGTCCCAGCTCTCTGCAGGTCATTCACCAGGTCCCCCCGTGTGGTTCTGGGATCTTTGCTCACCGTTCTCATGATCATTTTGACCCCACGGGATGAGATCTTGCGTGGAGCCCCAGATCGAGGGAGATTATCAGTGGTCTTGTATGTCTTCCATTTTCTGATGATTGCTCCCACAGTTGATTTTTTCACACCAAGCTGCTTGCCTATTGTAGATTCACTCTTCCCAGTCTGGTGCAGGTCTACAATACTTTTCCTGGTGTCCTTCGAAAGCTCTTTGGTCTTGGCCATGGCGGAGTTTGGAGTCTGACTGTTTGAGGCTGTGAACAGGTGTCTTTTATACAGATGATGAGTTCAAACAGGTGCCATTCATACAGGTAACGAGTGGGGGACAGAAAAGCTTCTTACAGAAGACGTTACAGGTCTGTGAGAGCCAGAGATTTTCCTTGTTTGAGGTGACCAAATACTTATTTTCCACCCTAATTTACAAATAAATTCTTTACAAATCCTACCATGTGAATTCATGGATTTTTTTTTCACATTCTGTCTCTCACAGTTGAAGTGTACCTCTGGTGCAAATTACTGACCTTTGTCATCATTTTAAGTGGGGGAACTTGCACAATCGGTGGCTGACTAAATACTTTTTTGCCCCACTGTATATTTGGAAAAATAAATGATGGTCAGGTGGTAAACAGGTGGCCTTTAAAGCAGAAATATTATTTGATATTTACAGGGGAGTATCCTGTCATTGCTATAAAATGATCGCTTGTTTGTAAACAAGCATCACTACTTTGTAATGGTGCCTGGGGAATGTAGAAACATTTTGTTGCATTACTGCCACCTTCTGGTGGTGGTAGTTCATTACAGTTTGGCACTAGTTTAAAATAATCTCAAAAGGGTAGAAGAGGGGTTAAGATGAGAAAAATGTTGGGGTTTTTTGTAACTTAACTGATGATTTTTAAATGGTGTTTATTTTAAAGCATTGAAAGTAAAAATTTAAGCAAGAAGATTGTTTAGTTTTGTTGCCCTGGATGTGTGGAGAAGTAATTTGCCAAAGCATACCGTTAGGGTTTCTTCTTATCAGTGATGACTCAAAATCTCACTGGTAATTTTTAATATCAAACCACAACATTGACTTAATCATTTATAAAAAAAAAAAATTAAAAAAAAAGCTTTTCTGATAAATGTGGTGTTTTTAATCTCAGGTTCCTGACCTTGTGGTTCATGAAGAGGAAGTGTATGAAGATGAGGATGATGAGAACGAGGAAGGCAACTGGAGGAATGACTACCCTGATGAGGAGAGCAATACAGACAGTGACAGAGAGGAGCGCTATGGTGGTATGTATTTAGAAACATGTCAGTTATTCAGTGCTGCAGTCTCTACTTGAACTCCTGTTAATTTAAACAAATGTCTCCCATTTCATCTTTTACTATGATAGCAAGATGCCAAAAGTTATTTGGTCAAACCAGGTTAGTGTGATATTCTAGTCATTTTCACTCATAGACAGTATCCTAAGGTCTTAGTTATACTTTTGATTGTCTAGACCTCTGCATTACGAAACTTAGTGTGCATAACTTGAGAATTGGTTCTCTACAAGAACTCATTCAAAGTCGTTCATTTCCTTCCTTCCTTTGCTTGCCAATCAATTGCACTTGCACTACATTTAGCTGATTTCAGTTGTTGTGCCAGAGGAGGAAAATGGTGGCGCAGTCTACAGAGTGGATATAGACAGTACTTTTATTCTTATTGTAAAAGAGGCTGCAGTGTCCGTTTCTACCTGTTCATGTTTCTAAAGTAGAATCACTGTGGCGATCCATTTGAATGTCTGTGTGCTGGTTTTCATCTTTTGCTTTTTGTTGTCAGTTTTGCATTCATACCGAAATACCAAGAGAAAGCTCATATGAGTATCCTCATTAAAATACAGATTTGTGTTGGTGTGTGGGACTGTAGCCTGTATGTTTGTATTGTTACATTGATATTTATGAGAGTGCATTTCAGTTCATTTTAAGGAGAAATGCCAAAGTAATGTAACAAGTAGTGTATCGTGTTACTTTCTCCTGAGTGTAATTCGATTAAATGAAATTTATTGATCCCTAGGGTTTTTTTTTTTTTTTTAAGTATTCTGATTCTGATTAAGGAAACTACTGCATTACTTTTAAGAAAAGTGTTCTGCTTAAGACTGTATGTAGGACATGGATGGAGCCACCACGTCACTCAATGGTTTTTGTGGTCTTTCAGACCAGGAAGTTAACATATATGGGTGAGAAGGTTCAGTGCTGAGGTTTGTAGATTGCATCGATAAACTCGCAAGACAGACATAGATACGTGCTAGTTGTTGCTAAGCAACGGACTGATGAAACACTTACTAAAACTAGAGTACAGATTTTGCAATATTTACCAACTTCAAATGGCAATTCAGTGAAGTTCAGTTCACTAAGCTGTTGTTTCTTGCTCCCTGTGTGTTTGCTTCATTTTTCAGCCTCAGTGTCACTTAGTGCAAACAAGTGTTGAATGGTGTTTATTTGCTAACCATTGCATTTGCCTTCTGTGCAGGATACTGGGAGGAGGAACACTCCTACAGCAGGAGGAGCTGGCAGCGCTACCAGAGGGAAGTGATGCATGAGCTGGGCTGCCGTGGTGACGACGACGACAACGGCGATGATGACGATGGAGACAAATATGATTCCGATTGATCTGCTCTTCACCCCACTTGTAGTGGATCTTTCCAGTTACCTTTCCACAAGTAACCCTTTACTCTGTGCAACATCTGTGTAGCAGAGACTGAAAAGGTTATAAAGAAATCACTTTTCACAGTGTAGCAGTTTATGTGTAGCACTCAACAAATGGGCAACCTTTCTGGAAAACACCGGGAAACAATACCTTGGTTAAAAACGTGCCAAAAGTATTTTGTCACAGTTATGAAGTTCAGTGGCCACTAACTGATCAGATCATTTTCCTACACAGATGGTGATGGAGTAGGTGAGTTATTTGCAGAAGGGTCCCGTGTGTCCTTTTTGGTTTTTTTTAAACTGTGGTGGAGTGAATTCATGTGTGGATGTTTGTTCAAAGTGGATGTGTGTTAGAAAATGTTGCACATTAGTGTGGTATGCCTCGTATGCTTTGTGCTCTTATCCTTCTGTTAGTGAGACGTCTCGGGCCGCGCGTGGTTGCAGTTTAGGGTGTTTGCATTTTGTGCATGGTAGTGCGTGAACGTATAACTGTGTTAGATTTTTTTTTTTTTGCATAATGTGAAAGCGTGGTGCATCAATTCTGTTGTGGGTGTGCGAGTTGGGTTCAGAAAATCTCCTCTGGAGTTTAAATTGTTTCTCTTGGATGCCTGTTCTGTTAAGGTTTTTGTAAATATGTAGATGTGTATAAAAGAAAAGCTTTCAAAATAAACATGAAACATCTCAGTGTCAGTTTGTCCTGCATTCTAAAGAAGAGGTTAAAATGTATTACTATGCCATATCATTGGTTTGTAAAACATGTATAAATATCTTATTACTTTATAAACATAGTTTGAGTTCAAAGGCTTAGATGGATTAATGGCAGGTTCTTTCTTTATTTTATTTTTTTTTTTCAACCTGGTTAAGTGACCATGGTAACTTCTGCTCAACCTATAGCCAGTTAAGAGCAGAGACCTGTACTGTGAAGCAGGATTTGGGCTAATCCAGGGCCCCGTACAATAAAGGGGGTTCTGACTATCCAGGGTATCATTCCACTATCACTTGCTAATATTGGCAATTGGGACACACAGACCACTTAAAGTGGTTATCAACACTTAAAGTTATTCCAGGGTTTCCCCTGGATGTTCACATGAAAGGAGCGCTGTTAACAGAATTTAAGCAATTTATAAGTTGCAGGATCATGACTCTTCCACAGAAACTGATCCCCAAAAGTGCCACCTACTTCAGAAACACAATGTGCCTGTGAAATGCAACACACAATTAATAGTGCAGAAACTGGTTAATCTGGTGATTTAGCACATAAAATAAACATTTTAATTTAATTGGCTGCGTCCCTGTCAGTGCTGCTGTTTCTTTCTAAGGTGACGGCCCATTACAGCTCAGAATTCCAATATATAAGCTTAGTTTACATACTTAATGTGTGGTCACCAAGTATCTTCCGTAGATGTCCTATTTTAAGATCAGATTTTAATGCTATGGAACAATAATTGTTTCCTGCCAACAGGGGAAAAAAATCAAGGAATGAATGTGTCTAATAATCTTTATTTATTACTAACACTCATTATGGAAAGGAAAAGACATTAGAAACAGCAGAAAAATTGAACACTCTGCTACTCCCCCCACAGAGCTCTTTGTCCAGAGCTGGTTAGTTTCCAGAGTAGAGATCAACAGATCATTCTGCTGATGTGGGTAAACTCCTTCTGTTGGTAGTCCTTTTCAGTATGGTGTCAAAATACACCAGATGATGTATTGTTTTAATCAAAAATATGAGCACAGATGTCTGTGAGCCTTAGGGTGGTAAACTCCACCACACAAGCACATCAATTAATACTCTGTTACCCATCTAGACTTTAGAGCAGCGGTCTCCAACTCCAGGCCTCGAGGGCCGGTGTCCTACAGTTTTTAGATGTGTCCTTGATCCAACACAGCTGATTTAAATGGCTAAATTACCTCCTCAACATGTCTTGCAGTTCTCCAGAGGCCTGTAATGAACTAATTTGATTCAGGTGTGTAGACCCAGGGTGCGATCTAAAGCCTGCAGGACACCAGCCCTCGAGGCCTGGAGTTGGAGACCCACGGAATACAGGAAGAAAATGTAAATTTGAGGGGTTGTTTTTATATACAGCAATTACAGAAGCTTGAATTTCATCAGGATACTTTTCATTTCTCACATAAGAAAAATAATGGTGAGCATCACCAGCGTGGTACAGTTCCAATTGTAACAGTTATTGTTATGTAAATATATCAATTGCATATACATGGGAAATTGATATCATAGATTGTGATACAGTTTACTTTTTGTTGTACAGTAAACCTGTCAGCTGGTCCAGCTGAGGTGTACAGGGACCAGTATCCCCGCCCCCTGCTGCTAGGTAACTTTCCCACCCGTCCTCCAGCCAAACACAGCTGCAGGGTCAGGTAGCAGCCAAGGTCCTGGCCAGAGGCCAGCGACAAGTCAAACCCTTTGGCTTTGACTCATCACAATTGTTGGGCAATCGTGGCTCAAGAGTTGGGCGTTCGTCTTGTAATCGGAAGGTTGCCGGTTCGAGCCCCGGCTCAGACAGTCTACTGGTGGTGGTCAGAGGGCCCAGTGGCTCCAGTGTCCGGCAGCCTCGCCTCTGTCAGTGCGCCCCAGGGCAGCTGTGGCTACAATGTAGCTTGCCATCAGCAGTGTGTGAATGGGTGGATGACTGAATGTGTAGAGCGCTTTGGGGTCCTTAGGGACTAGTAATACAGGCCATTTACCATTTTACAATCGGTCATCACACATTAATCTTACCGTAATTATTAAATCTTACACAGCAAGTGGCACAATCTTATAATATACCTTATAACAACATTGGTTACATACTTAACATGGTGATTCTCATATATAAAAACATTCAGTGTAGGTTCATGGTGTGTGTGTGTGTGTGTGTGTGTGTGTGTGTGTGTGTGTGTGAGTGAGAGAGAGAGAGAGACAGATTATATCACATGATATTTTATTGTGATGTGTTCAGGATCTCTGTTACAATGTTACTGTTTTGGTTGTGCTGCGTGAAAGGCGTTGAGTGTGCATTGGGGGAGGTTAGTTACTGGAGCTGGAGAGAGAGTTATTCAGGAGAACTCTCCCCTTATATCAACTGCCCTGTTACTGTACCACCTTAATAAACCATGTGCTTAAGACTTTACGTGAAAGTTAAAATATATATGTTCAGTGCATAGATATATAGTGTGTATAGTTATATGTAGCCGCTAAGACTGGTGAACCTAAATCTTCACCACCACGTCTGTATACATGCAAGCGAAAAGGGGAGCGAGCGGATCAGCGCTCAGGGCACAGAAACTAAGCTGGCTTCAAACACACCATTTATTTCCATTAAAAAAAAAACAGCCAGAATCACAAATACAAGTTAAAATTCCCCATATACAATAAAAATAGTGTTTGCAACCCGCTAAAAACCCTGCCAGGACTCCACACCTGAACACGGCCTCCCTCGTCTCACCGTCAGATGCAAGCAGAAGGGCATCCCTGCCCTGTTGTGAATTGCGGCCATCGCCACCCACTGTTGCTGTTCCTGCATTGGGACTGGATCGCCGAACCCCCACCGTACTGAACGACTCGCGGCACCCCACAGTCAGGCAGGCAGCAGTTCCTTCAACACACGTGCGGGCTTGCACGCGTTCCTTTTTTTTCCTGCTCACCTTTCGTGCGTTGCTCTCTTGTCTCTGTGCTCACTATCCCCTTTAACAGGTCAACCTGGCGGCTGATAGGCCACCTTGGGGAACGCCCCCACCTCACAGGTGTCTACAATTGTCTGTTTAGTCCACAGTGGATTAAAGGAATATGGTACAACCTTAACACACATAATATAAATGAGGATAAAACCATGCAATATAAATATCAATAAACAAACATGCAATATAAATATCACAATAAAATCATGCAAATAAAATCAACACTATGTACCAATACACAGATTGATAAAACATAAAAACATAAATTTCCACTGTATGACATATACATGTCATACAAACGTCCACCACAAGATGAGTATGGAGACCATGAATTATAAATAGAAGCAGACATGAAGATAGTGTTAAACCACCTGCTAGCCAATACGCCACATTGTATGCCATATCTTTTTATGAGGTATGAAGATTCATGTGCTTTTGTGCTGAAGGTTTTCTTCTGTTCTCAAACTGCTCTTCTCTAAGAGATCAGTCTGGGAGGAGTTCTTTTTTTCTCCAACTCTCTCCCCTCATGTATTGTGTATTTCATTGTTCTTCTCGTGCTGCCTCTTCTGAATTGTCTTCTCAATGTGATGTTTGTGCAATGTATGTATGGTCAGAAGGGGTCCAACTTCACTGGATGTAACATGTACGTGTAACATTGCGGTGACAAATTAAGGCTCATCATCTAGAGTGCTAAATTGTCAGAAATGTAAGGTAGCTCAGTAAATGAACTTGTGCTCATTGCTCTGTATTATTTAAACATTCAGACCCCCAAAGGTCTTTTTAGTCATCTGTTTGTTTTGTCTGTGGTTCAACAGGTTTCTGTCTTCCTGTCTTCCATTTCTTACAACACATTCACACTGTTACGCATACACAACCCAACTCTGCATGGCCACAGATGCAGTATTTGTTAGTCCCGCAGTGGGAGCTTAGATGAATATGTTCAAGCTATTTCTGTTTGGTTATGTGTTTTGCGCTTATGAGTGTAAGCTTACAGTACACTTTAGTGGCAGATTTTTAATGGTGGAGTATATTGAATTAATGTTTTCTTCCATACTAAATAGTGAATTATAGGTTTGTGTAAAAACTTTTTTTCATTTCTACAGAACAGGTGTGAGCAACAGAACCCTGGCTGATGGAGAACATAGTGCGCTTCTTAATCATCCTCTCCACTGGTAAGATCACCACACAGGAACCACATTTTGTGATAGTTTGTTCATACATGTGTGCTGTATTCATGCTGTGCTGTGTCATACATTATACGTTGTTGTATGCTGCTGTGTGTAGGAATATTCACTTAGAAACATAAAAAAATAGGAGCATTTACTAACTTTTCCTCTGTGTAACCGCTATTTAGTTTGTGTGCATCTCAAACTAAATAAATAATTTAGTTTGAGGTGTGAGAATTAGAGTTTCCACTTTCACCTATACTCTTTCACTTATATAAGAGCTATTAATTATTAGCTTAAAGCACAGTACACACCGGCTTCAGTGAACTTATTTACTGATGAATCACATCTGTGCTTGTAAACTCTGATCTGAAAGACTGTAATGTAAACTCCTGCAGTGCCATGTTAAAAGTCCATCCATCTATTCATCTTCTGCTTATCCAATTCAGACTCGGACCCACACAGTGTACTGTAGCTGTTTGTTTGTCTCTTTAATGTTATGGCACACACAATGCTTCCAGCTCAGCACCTTTGATTTCTCCATGGCCAGCTTTCCAGTTGGATCCACGCTCCACTGCAGGTCCCCAGCATCATTAAAGAACAAACAGTTCAGCAGAGTACAGCAGTGTGATTCCTTCCACCTGGCCCACTGCAGCAGAGCCAGAGATCACACCACTGCCACATAAGTTGAATTTTTTTTTTTAATACTGTGTGCTGTATTTTAACAGTTTCCAGTAACAATGACAATGACCTGGACTGGAACTTTTGCGGCACATGGCACCATGGCAACAACCCCCTGAGCCTGAACCTCAACATCTCTACTGGCTGTAAAGGAATCTCCATTTCAGCCAATGAGAGCTTTCTGTCCATCAACGGGCAGATCACAGCCCAGTGTAGGAGATCTGAAGTGATTACCTTCAAGCACCTTGGACTTGAGTCAGGGGAGGACATCAAGTTCTGTCTGGACTGGGAGCCACTGCTGGACCAGTTAATGCTGACAGTAAGTGATAACAATTTTTAAATTTAAGTGTGGGTTCTAAATGCTATTTTTTTTTTTGTTTCATCATTTGACACCCATTATTTTACTCAATAACATTAAAGTTCAGGAGAACTCAACTAAAAATGAGCGTGAGGTAGTTAAATGAAAGATGTGGAAAAAGCACATGTGTATAATAATATACCACCACCACATTCTAAAAGCCATATAACAAAATGTAAAATTTATATGATGTTCTGTACACTGCATACACTACACTAGCTAAATTCAAGATTATTATGATAATTTCTGTTTTTTGTTTTTGTTTTTCCTGTTGTGATGTTCAGGTAGGAGAGGAGAAGCTTATTCTGTGCTCACCTGCAAGCCTGCAGGGTAACTGCTGCACTGACCTGAGTGATGGCCAAAACACACAAGAAGCAGACTACGGCATCCTCAATACCGAGATTAATCATGATTTCATCACCGACAAAACACGGATGGCGTACAACTTTCAAGCAAATTCCACCAACTACAGTAAGGAAGATTACACATATTGTGTCAGCATATTCTTGATAGAAAATCTGTGAATGAAATATATTTAGCAAAAAATAAAATTGATGTTCTGTACTGTTTTATTTGTTCCAATAACTCAGTTTGTCTGTAATGTTGTTCATATTTAGCTTTGCTGAACCAGCATTTCAGATTTCTGTTATCAAGTGCAGCATGTCAGAATCAGAACTTTCTCTTCTTTTCTGTTTTTGCAGCAGAATTATGTGAACAGGCGAAACGGGAATCCGGCCCCAACAAGTAATTTTCTCTCTTTTCCTCACATGCACCAGTTTATTGCAGGGATATCATGGCAGGATGTTGTAGACTTGATCCTTCCTGAAGTACACAAACTTTGATTACAAACGAGGAGTGAAGACATTAGCTGTCTGATGTAATATTGCTCCATTCAAATGAAACATGACAAACTTATAATCATGGCTGTGCCTGATGTTTGTGTCCAGGTGTGCTGAGCCTCCATACGCTCACAAATCTGATGTGATGAAGGAAGATTTCAAAGGCCACAGCGTCACATCACCTGTAAGACAAACACACAAAAGTTAAAGAGACTTGTCTTCAGATTAACCTTTTTTCTTTTTCAAACCAACCAGTGTGAGAAGGCTTTGATTTATTTTTAGAGAGTGGATGCTCTTTGTGATAGCGTGTCAGCTGTTGTATTGCAGTGTTACTGTTCTGAACTACCTCATCTTACAATCTCATTTAATTATAGCTACATTATAAAAAAGATAAAATGATCAAAATTTTATTTGTAATAAACTATACTGAAACAAAATGAAATTTATTAAATTTCAATTATTTTTCAAAAAAACATTTGCAGTTCATTGTAATTCATTTATGTCGCCCACTGTGGCACACAGATATATTTTTATAGGTTAAGAGGAACACAGAGGGCAGAAAACATGTCAGGTTTTGGATTTGTGTACACTCAGTAGTGTCAGTTATTATTTGGTGTAGTAATGAGTTTAAAAACTGGAGGAGTGAAGAATGAAGTTAGCCTTACCTTTGCTTTCTTTAGTGCTCAGGCTGTGATGAAATGCAACCTTTCCTCCTTAGACACACAAAAATGTCCCGCTCTGCAGAGTAATATCACCTCTTAAATCCAATTATTAGGTTTCTGTAGGTTTCACCTGAATCACACATCTGCAGAAGTGAGGTTTCACTTTCAGTCATACAACTGGGATGAAGATTCATATTTTTAGAGTTTGCACTGCTGACATTAGCAAAAAACCTTCTTTGCATCTGAGACTGTGTGCTTCCATTTTTAATCCAGACTTACTTTACAGCACATTTTTGAATAACCTAGAGTATTCATGCAAGTAGAGGGGAGAAGTGATGTAGTACAGAAAATAGGGTGGGAGGTTAGTCACATAAAAGTGACTGATGGCAGCATTCTACTGACGATTACAGGATGGTGTTGAAAGCTGACTTTTTTTTTCCTCTAAACGACCCTAAAATAGAGTCATTTAGTAACCCAACAATCTCAAAGCAGAGCCACAAGCAGAGCTGCAGAGTGAAGCAGGTTTTGCTTACATTGTAAAAACTCACAGTTCTTATATGTGCTGTCTTTTCCAGGCAATGGACTTGACAGGTATACCAGCAATGGCTGGTAGACCTGTCAAGTCCAATATCACTGTCCACCTCCCTGCTGCCTTAAAACAAGCTGCGAAAAATGTTAACAATGTAGCCTGCACTTTCTTCAAGAACATCTCCCTGTTACAGGTAAGGCTGTTTGCCTTCAGTCGATACAGGCACATATGACAGGATTTCAGGTGACCTTATTTAGCTGTCAGCCTGCAATTTTTTCCAGTGTTCACATTTGCGATTCTATCTGGAATACTTTTGTTGCTTTGTGTGCAAATATTTATGCTGCATTGTGTAAGATGAAGGTCAAGTTGTGTGTGTTTGTTTCAGGAGGCTCACAAAACTGCCAAGCCTATCAATGATGTGGTGGAAATCACGGTGGAGAACGAGATCATCAGAAATCTGCCTGAACCCATTAGGATAGATTTTTACCATGAAGCCGTATCTGTAAGTTTGTGTGTTTCTGTGGCGTTTAGCCTGTATCAGTACGCTCCCCACCCACTTTATATTACTTAAAGCTACTTCCTTAAACTGACACTTACTGTACCAAATAGTAACTGCTGAATTGACTGCAATGTGCTGCAGTGCAAATATCAGTAAACACTCAGGGTGACAAATATGGCTTAGGTGCAGAAAACAAAAGCAAAATGCTGTTAAGTTCTGTAATATCAGCCTGTTGACCTCAAAGGTGCAACAAGCACAGAAACCATGTGTAGCAAAAATAGACTGCGGTCTTAATGTGCATAGTTTCTGTGAAGTAGTCATGGTGACACATGAAACTCCCTGTTTTTATGTTAACTGTGATCTAAACATTCTTTAGCATTATGGCGATACACAGTAAGCCAGATTATGTATGCAGCAAATAGGAAACAACTTTAAAGGAACTAAAATGTAAATATGTCCAACAAATGCGATATATGCAACTTCTTATTGGGAGATGTCTGCAGCTCACATCTTTGTTCCCTCTTTATTTCAGGAAAGCTATTTAAGGACATGTGTTTCTTGGGACACTAGAAAAGGTTGGAATCCTTTAGTGGCCATGCATACAGAGGTTTGCAAAAGTATTCGGCCCCCTTGAACTTTTTCACATTTTGTCACATTACAGCCACAAACATGAATCAGTTGCATTGTATTGGTCTTTCACGTGGAATTCCAAAGTGGTGTACACATGAGAAGTGGAACGAAAATCATACATGATTCCAAACATTTTTTTTACAAATAAATAACTGCAGGGTGGGGTGTGCGTAATTATTCAGCCCCCTTTGGTCTGAGTGCAGTCAGTTGCCCATAGACATTGCCTGATGAGTGCTAATGACTACATACAGTGCACCTGTGTGTAATCTAATGTCAGTACAAATACAGCTGCTCTGTGACGGCCTCAGAGAATATTGGGAGCAACAACACTATGAAGTCCAAAGAACACCAGACAGGTCAGGGATAAAGTTATTGAGAAATTTAAAGCAGGCTTAGGCTACAAAAAGATTTCCCAAGCCTTGAACATCCCACGGAGCACTGTTCAAGCCATCATTCAGAAATGGAAGGAGTATGGCACAACTGTAAACCTACCAAGACAAGGCCGTCCACCTAAACTCACAGGCCGAACAAGGAGAGCTGATCAGAAATGCAGCCAAGAGGCCCATGGTGACTCTGGACGAGCTGCAGAGATCTACAGCTCAGGTGGGGGAATCTGTCCATAGGACAACTATACTAGACCTCAGTGCATCGTTCGATACTGTTGACCATAATATCCTATTAGAGCGATTAGAACATGCTGTAGGTATTACAGGTACTGCACTGCAGTGGTTTGTATCATATCTATCTAATAGACTCCAATTTGTACATGTAAATGGAGAGTCCTCTTCACATACTAAGGTCAATTATGGTGTTCCACAGGGTTCAGTGCTAGGACCAATTCTGTTTACATTATACATGCTTGCCCTAGGCAATATTATTAGAAGACATAGCATACATTTTCACTGCTATGCAGATGACACCCAGCTCTATCTGTCCATGAAGCCAGATAACACACCAATTAGTTAAACTGCAGGAATGTCTTAAAGACATAAAGACCTGGATGGCTGCCAACTTTCTGCTTAATTCAGATAAAACTGAGGTTATTGTACTCGGCCCTGAAAAGCTTAGAAATATGGTATCTAAGCAGATTGTTACTCTGGATGGCATTACCTTGGCCTCCAGTAATGCTGTGAGGAACCTTGGAGTCATTTTTGACCAGGACATGTCCTTCAACACACATTAAACAAATATGTAAGACTGCTTTCTTCCATTTGCGCAACATCTCTGAAGTTACAAATATCCTGTCTAAGAGTGACGCTGAAAAACTAGTTCATGCTTTTATTACTTCCAGGCTGGACTACTGCAATTCGTTATTATCAGGATGTGCAAAAAACTCCCTGAAAAGCCTTCAGCTAATCCAAAATGCTGCAGCAAGAGTCCTGACAGGGACTAGAAAGAGAGAGCATATTTCTCCTGTATTGGCTTCCCTTCATTGGCTTCCTGTTAAATCCAGAATTGAATTCAAAATCCTGCTCCTCACATACAAGGTGTTGTGTCCCCACAAGCCATGTGGGGGACACAGCAAACATGTGGAAGAAGGTGCTCTGGTCAGATGAGACCAAAATGGAACTTTTTGGCCAAAATGCAAAACACTGTGTGGCGGAAAACTAACACTGCACATCACTCTGAACGCACCATCCACCATCTCTTCATCTGGGACAGGGAAGCTGGTCAGAGTTGATGGGAAGATGGATGGAGCCAAATACAGGGCAATCTTGGAAGGAAATCTCTTGAAGTCTGCAAAAGACTTGAGACTGGGGCGGAGGTTCACCTTCCAGCAGGACAACAACCCTAAACATAAAGCCAGAGCAACAATGGAATGGTTTAAAACAAAACACATCCATGTGTTAGAATTGCCCAGTCAAAGTCCAGATCTAAATCCAATCAAGAATCTGTGGCAAGATCTGGAAACTGCTGTTCACAAACGCTGTCCATCTAATCTGACTGAGCTGGAGCTGTTTTGCAAAGAAGAATGGGCAAAGATTTCAGTCTCTAGATGTGCAAAGCTGGTAGAGACAGACCCTAAAAGACTAAATAAATCAGTCTTTGCAGCAAAAGGTGGTTCTATAAAGTGTTGACTCAGAAGGCTGAATTATTACACACACACACCCCACTTTTCAGTTATTTATTTGTAAAAAATGTTTGGAATCATGTATGATTTTCATTCCACTTCTCACGTGTACACCACTTTCTGTTGGTCTTTCATGTGGAATTCCAATGCAATTGATTCATGTTTGTGGCTATAATGTGACAAAATGTTGTCACATTACAAAAGTCTTGAACTTTTGTAATGTAATGGGCCAATACTTTTGCAAGCCACTGTATTTGACATTATTAATTATTATCTATCTGTATTTCCCATTTTCTTTCCCATAATTCCCACCAATGAGCTTTAACTGATTTATATTTTCCTGCTGCAGATTCTCTGCAGGTGAACTGGTCAAATGATGGATGTGAGACACAACAGAAAGGGGAAAACCACACTGTGTGTCTGTGTAACCATACAGCTTACTTCACTGTCCTGGTGGTAAGACACAGTTTTTCATACAACAATAAAAACAGTAATGAGATGTTGCTTATAAGTACTAAGTCGTTTTAAAGATGTATAAAATAGATGTTCTCTAGCATATCGAGACTATCTCTCCACACCGTTACATATTCCATATGTACGGGGTACGACCCCCCCCTTGGTCATGGCGTGTGGATATTTCTTTAAGACACTCCGGCACGCCCGGTGTGACCATGAGCTGGGTCCCCTCCAACACCTGCTGCTGATTCACTGCTGGCCCCTCCCACAGCATCCCTCCCATGGCTCCACCTCTGAGGCCTGGGCCAGTGGAGGTTGACTATCAAGCAGTGGAGGTTGACTATCAAGCGGCAGATGTTGAAGAGGTTTCCATCCTCTCCTTCGGTGTTGCCCACCTCTCCCTGGTCTGCTCCCTGCTGGTCCCTAGGCACAGTGTTGGGCGAGATGGGTCCCTTCAGCTCTTGATTGGAGCATGCCAGTTGTGGCAACTTGCCCTTCCTGGGGTCCCGTCTAATAGAGCGGACCTCAAAGTTGATGCTATCACGCAGCCATAGCGCCTCCTATCTCAGGTGCTGCTGCTGCCTGATTGGTCTGGTTGCAGGCAGTTGAGTGCCCTGCCCCCCAGCATTTATGGTCCCCTTCCCGCAGTTGGTTGCTGCCATGGTGGGAGTAGTAGCCTTTAGCCCTGCCCCTGGTCCCTCTGGATACCCCTTCGGGCCCTCATGTGCAGGGCAGCATGCCCTACAAGGGCGTGAGGGTAACTGCTGCCCTGCTGGTGGCCATTTTGTCGCTCGCTTTATAGGGATGGAGCTTGACACAACAGCTGCAGGCAGGGTGGGGACATGGCGAGCCTCCCCCATCTGTGCCTCTAAGGAGAGCAGGCTAAAATGGGGATGATGGCTGCAGTGTTCCCTCCCATGGCTCCGCCTCTGTGAGGCCTGAGCCGGTGGAGGTTGATTATCGTGAGGTGGATGTTGAAGAAGCTTCCTTCCCATCTGGCTGCCACTGGAGTGTGTCCCGGACGGGTGAACCCATGTCTGGGTTGCCTGATTCCGGGGCCCTCCCACAGTGTTCCCTCCCATGGCCCCGCCTCTGTGAGGCCTGGGCTGGTGGAGGTTGATTGTCAGGAGGTTGATGCTTATGACGCTTGGCTCCAGTCAGACGACCAGAGTTGCCTCATGGGACTGCCTGTCTACCCTGCAGCCACCTCGCTGTGCTGAGGGGCCTATACAGGCGTGTGGAGACAGCCGTGTTCAGTTGAGGCGGGTAGGACCTCGGAGCTTAGGCTCAGCTGTACTCCAGCCACCCTCCTCCCTCCTGACATCTTTTGAGTTGGGCCTCGTGGCCAGGACTGCTGAAGGCTGTGTTCCCCTGGCATATTGCCCGCGCTTCACCAGTTTATGCGCCAGTTGGCTCGGCCACCAGTTGACAGTTCTCCGGCCTGCGGCGCTGGCTCTCTGTCTGGGAGATTGCCCAACTGTTGCGAGTCTACGTGGCCAGCAGGGCCCACTCAGTGAGCTGACACCCATGGTGAGTCACTTCCCTGGCTTCACTGTAGCTCCAGGCTGTCTTCCCCTGGCGTGTTGCCCGCAGTTGCCGACTTACGCGCCAGTTGGACCTCGCTGCAGCGAGTGAGCATTCTCCAGCCTATTTTAGACGGATTTTCTCTGGCATGTCAGCTGCTGCAACTCCTGGCTGTGTTCCCCTGGAGTATTCCCTGCATTTGCCGGTTTACACGCGAGCTGGACCTTGCTGTGTTTGATTCTTCAGCCGGCAAGTGAGTGTTCTCCAGCCTGCAGCGCTGTGCACGAGTGTCTTGTTTGAAGTTCACTCTTGCTGCTCCCCTGTCTGCACACAGTGGTAGCGACCGCTCAGCCGTGGGGCAGACCTTTGGGTTAAGTCCCCGCTTGGCCTTCAGTGGGCTAGACCGCACCTCCGTCTGTGGACAGCTGGGCGGCGCCGTGGCTGTGTGGATGGACCCTTCAGGTCGCATCCCTGCCTTGGCCCTTCATCTTTGCAGCTGTACTGCTGCTGCGGGCTGTGTTCCCCTGAGTGAGCTGACACTTGACCCTTGACTGTCCACCAGTGTCTCGTCAGGCCCACTCTTGCTGGCCCCCTGTCTACGGATGGCTCAGAGTGGCTGCTATGCCCTGGTGGCGAACCTTGGGTCGCTCCTCACTTGGGCCCTCAATGGCCTGAGCCACCAGCCCCTCCCCTGTCGTGGATGATGCAGGTTGGCTGCTCAGCTCCTGGGACAGGCCCTGGGCCTCGTCCTACCTCGGCCATCCACTGAGTGGCTGAGATGCTGCGAAAGGCTCTTTTCCCCTGGCACTGTGTCACTGCCTAGTGCCAGGCGGGGATCTGTTGTGACTTGGCAACTCCAGCCGGTGGCTACGACTTCCCGACTGGAGCGTCATCGCGGATTTCGGTCACGGCGATAGCCAGCTGCTGTGCACAAGTGGCTTGGTAGGTTGTGTTCCCCAGGCGTATTGCCCGTGTTTGCTGGCTTTCATGCCAGTCTGACCTCGCTGGGGCGAGTGACAGTTCTCCAGCCTAGTGTAACTTCAGCCAGTGAGTGAGAGCTCCCTAGCCTGCTATGCTGGTTCCCTGTCTGGTGCTTTGCCTGTGTGTCACGGGCTTACATGGCCAGCACGGGGACACCCAGTGAGCTGGGACTTTGTGTCTGACCTCGAGTGTCTCGTTTGCGAGTTCACTCTTGAAGCTGTAGTGACAGTGCTGGGGCAGCTACTTGGCAGCTCGGTGTGCTGCGCTCCCTGGCGGTCTGCTTTGCGGTTCCCGGGCTGACCTTAATCGGCCAATCACTTGCAGTCCTGCATGACTGATTCAGGCCAGTCTGGGGTCTGCAGACTGCTGCCTCCACCCCTTGGCTCAGGCTATGCGTCTGCGAAGCCCTGACCAGGGTGGTGTGCCTGTTGGTGCGTGGTCACTGACTCCCAGCACTTTCACTCTCAGCGGTTCAGTTGCACTGTCTCCTCGCGGGGTGTCTTACAGAGTTACCCTGTACATATGGAATATGTAACGGTGTGGAGAGAGTCTCTGACTAAGAGAACCAAGGTTACACCGTAGCCTTACGGGGGGGGGTTGTGTTGCTTTTTTTTTTTTTTTTTTTTTTTTGTGTATGAAGACCTTTTTCTGCTCATTGCACTGTCCACTTGTAGGACCTGAAGCCTCGATCAGTGTGCCAGCCCCTGGAACTCACTGCTATTCGATATGTAGGCTGTGCTGTATCTATGATCAGCAGTTTTGCTCTTATAATTTATCTTGGCAGAAAAAAGGTATGTGTGCATACAGTCTATGGAAACAGTTTTTAGATTTTTTTTTTATTTTTATTTTTTTTTAATTTACACTTAGGTAATCTGTTTATCTTTTCAGTACTCCCATGCAAATATCTAGCAATGATTATTCCATTAGACACATGCCAGTATCTTCAAACACAAGGAGTTTGCATTGTATTTTGTATTCTTATACTATAACTGCATTTCTTGCATTATATAGTTCTGCTTCTAGATGTTATATTTCAACACTGTCATCCAATTAAATACACAGTACATACAATACATAGATTTGAGGATTTCAGTTTTTTGTACTTTCTCTTAAACTGGCTGCTGTAACAAGGTATTTTCTTAAGTTTTGGAATAAATAGTGTTTTTGTCTTATCTTATTTGAAGAACATTTGGGGTATTTAAGTATAGTATACATATTAATATTAATATAGGATTACTGAATTATTGTAAGTGCAAGCAACAATAGAACAAGTTCATACAAAAACTTGGTGGCATTACTGTGATCTTGTGGTTAACTTGCTGAAAATAGAGATGCAGCTCATGTACCAAAATATGTGAGCCGTATCACCCTTGATGTTAATAACAGAATCGTATTACTGTTTTCTCACCACATTCTTGTCATTTAAAAACTGGAAATGTTTCTTTGTTTTGTTATGTTTTTTTTTTAACAATTTCTGGACATGTGAACCAAATTTATTTTCAGATTAAAATACCTTTGCATGGTCTGGCTATGTTTGTACAACTGATTGTCGAGGTGTCTTAACCTCACACTATAAAGTGCTTTGAGATGACCGTTGTTGTGTTTTACTGCTATATAAATAAAATGTATTTGATCTCAAGTACAGCTGCAATCTGCAAAAAGTGAAAGAAAAAAAAAAAAAAAAAAAGCACTTTTTTTTGTTTCATCTCATCATAGATTATGCTGCCATTTGTCATTTTGGCTGTTTTTTGTTAAAATCTTTCAGGTTTGGTAAGCAAGAAGTGCTGTTTGTTGACATCATGCAGCACCCTTCACTCTACCTGAGGAACAGGTACCTGGCCACAGGAAAGACTTCAGCTTCAAATCATAATCCAACTACTCCCACAGTTAACTATGAAGAAAACTTCATGGTTAACTGTGTATTATGCAGCATTTTAGAGGCAAACAGTTTATTTATATGTACAGCAGTATGACTCTTTCTTTATCTCATACCAACTGTTGCACCTGTGTTTCAGTTTGGATCTCATATCCAGTAGATGTTCTTGTACACTGTGTCATCTTTATAAAGTCTCACAATCCAGCTTGTCACTTCAGCGTTTTCAGCATACCAAATCTAAGTGATCTGCAATTTTATACAAGCTGGAACAGCTGAGGTAGGTTTTGTTGCACACAGGTGAAACAGCTGTGGTCAAAGGTTTTGGTTTAAGTGTCACTAATGCCAAAAAATGTATTTATTTGCCATTAAAAGTCTTGAATGAATAAATGAATGAATTGCTCATGACTGCTTTTCACTGTGTCACAGAAACATGTATTAAAAAATAAATAAACTTGAATAAAAATGTAAGCAGCAAAGTGTATGAAACAAGGCCATGAGCGAAGCTGGTTTGGACCACGTAGTTGTTTGCCAACAATATACCCACCAATACAACATCACTGTAGTTCTCACCAAAGGGAGGAAAGCAGCAGTAAGATGAGCTCAGTAGTAGAACAGAATCAATACAATACCCATAGTTCATTAGATCAGAATTGTACAGCTCATGCAGCACCACCTGAGGCAAATGTTCCAATAGCTCGACTACCATGGTGAACATGACATCAATGATGATGATGACAATGACAGTGGAGACAAATATAATTTAGATCAATTACCCCAGTTGCTAAGAAAGCTTTCTACTTCCCTTTCCAAAAATAACCTTTTACTCTGTATGTTGTGTAGCTGAGACTAGACGGAATATAAGCCAAGAAAGAAATCCCATCTTATGAATGCTACGTGTAGCAGACTACATGTAGCATGCATAACATTTTATGACAGTTCATAAATTCATGTAAAAGTATCCTGATAACACCTGGAAGCTTTGAAAATAAACATGACCATTTGTGCTTTTGTTCTGCGCCATAAATATAATGTTATTGATTCAAAATAATGATTAATAACTATATATTATGATAACTTGTTCGAAAATTCCTGACAGTCATTTTGATTGCTTAGAAAAGTCTCCAAATGAACAGCCACTATACTGTAGTGCAATTATAAACATCTGGATTAGAAATCAAGTAAAAACAGATGGTTTAAAATACTAAAGAATGTATATCTAATGCTCATCCTGTAATTTTTGTCCTGCTTCACTCAATTTCTCATTTTTGCTTTTAGTTAGTTACATTTGCTAGTCGAAAACATGTGGTTTAATGTTAAAATGCAGTGAGTCAAAAATAGCTATGAGACTAAACAGGGCACAACAGGATTGGACTCCTGTGCAGCTGCTGGAGCTGATCAGGCCCACTGAAAATTTAACTAAAAATGCTAATCAATCTTAATGAAACTAACTTCAAGCTGCACAGAGCAGATGAAACAGCAGGACGTCTGCTGAACATTTAGTCTAATTTCAAAATGGAAGACCCTGAACAGACTGAATGCTTTGCTTATGAAATGTTCCCGGTGTTTTTCAAGCCAGGCAAAAGATGTCACATACACAGACACACCCTTTATATTCCTGGGATAAAACCAGTCTCAGGATCATAGCTCTGAGACAGGAACCGCTTTGACTAAACAGCAGTATTTGATGTACTCAGAATTAGACTGATCAATTGAGCTTCTTTTATCCATATCGCCCTGTAAAAAAAAACAAAGCAACCTCTATTATAAAACATCTACCTTGCCAAGTCACACATATTTCTACATATAATTCCACAATTCGCTACATCTTGCTTAAGATGATGGCCATTGCTGTGCAGCAAATCAATAACAGTGATCGCTCTGTGATGTTTACTCAGAATGTCCCAGGTTTATATCTGTAAGCCAGCTAGACTAGCTGTTTTTTCTGCAACTTTTCTCATTTGCAGTCAGGTTTTGACAGGACAGATCATTTAAAATAATAATTATGGAATTTTACAGACAATTTTCAAAAGCCATAAAGCAGCTACGTGCATACAACAACAGCTAGCAGACTGGACTAAAACTAAAGCTCCAAATCTGACCAAGGCACAAATCTGAAACTAAAAGGTTCTCTTTTGAGATGAAATGAAGATTCTGAGATACAAGATGTCTGGAGCATAGTTTACTTTAGGAGACAGGATGTGCAGAAGTTCCACAACTGGACTAAAGATGTGGAATGAACAAAGTGTCTGTGTGGACATGATTAAGAACAAAAAGAAATAGTGCATATTAGTTATGTGTTTCAAAAATAACAACAGTGGGTTTAAAAAAAAAAAAAAAAAAAAAAAAAAAAAAAAGGCTTACAGCATCTCATACTGTGAAACAGGGTGAATTACACTAAACCCACCTCAGCTGGTCAGCTTGAAACACTCAAGAGTCACTGAATTCAACACATGGAAAACATGTTATGTTGGTTGAAAAAAAAAAAAACAGCAAGAAACTGCAAGCAATGAGGCCAAGAGTAAATAAAGGCAATGACATTACAGGGATGAGTCACTGTCCTCAAATAGCAGCAGTAGTATTTTCTCCCCTTCTTCATTAGAAAATAAATAAGACCAATAGTTTAGATCAATGTTAAACACACTCACACCTTTTAGTTAGAACCCAGGAGAGAATATTAACCTGCATTATGCTCTGGTCCCTGCAGTCATGTTCATAGCACCAGTGAAGTCTCAAAGGCATATACTGTTTAAAAGGCATATAGTATATAAAATTACCTGCTAAACTTAATAAGGATTAATAATAAATAAACTGCATAACCACCTCTCTACTGCACCTTGAAATGTTTTCCCAGAACAAAAATCTTTGTTTGTTTTATACAGCTGAAGGCCACATCTGTTGGCTGTGAGGATGCACAAACTCCTGGGTTTTAAAGTGTAACAGTCTATTGACTTTTGTCCATCTCAGTCAGCACACAGAAGCAGGTGTACTGGGTGAAGTCAGTCAGAGAACCTGCAGAAAACAGACAACACCATGTTGGTTAGTTGACTCAGGTGAAGTTAAGTGAAAATGACAAATCCTTCTTGCTTCCCATGTAGTGCACTCACGCAGCAGCTTAGTGATGACAGGTGGTCGTTTGGACTCTGGCAGGTAGACACCCAGGAAGTAGACTGGAACACCAGACAGGGCAATGGCAATGCCGATCAGGGAGTTGATGGTGTCGCTGTAGAGAGGAACTGCCACCAGGAAAATGGTACAGAGGCAGAACACCACCGGGTATAATAATGAGAGCTGCAGAGAGAGTCACGAGTTCAAAAACAGATCCTCCTAAATAAAAACATAGTATGAAAATATTTGCTTCATCATTATTATTTTGGATTTTATATGAGTAAACCTACACTGTGACATTCTTCATACCTCAGCATAACATCCATCCAGTTACTGTAACTTTACTTATTAGTGAAACATTCAGCCTAATGTTGGCAAAGCAGAAAAGTGTGTGTAGAAGCTGTTTTTTTTTCTAAAGCATTAAATAAAACCAAATTAAATCTGTTTCATTACTTTTAATACTATAATTACATATAATTAAAATGAGTCACCCACATTCTAACATTACATGCATTATATTCAAACTGAACATGGAAAACCTGAGATACCTTAAGAGGTCTGGGTCTGTCTGGCTCCTTCATGCGGAGGTAGATCTGGCCAGCGATGGACAGCCCCATGAAGAACCAGTAGCTAAAGCTGTAGTAATTGATAAGCTGGAAGACGTCTTCCACTGTCAGGTAGATCAGTGACATGACACACTGGACAGCAGACGGGGAAAATGACACCAGAATCTGAGTTTGTGTCATAGTTTGAGCAAGTACAATAGAACAAGTGTGCCAAGGGCCCCTTATGGTTTACGGCCTATGATAGCAGTTTGTATTATATCCTTTTATTTCCCAACACAAGAAATGAAACTGACACCCTTGAGTTTCAATAATGCAATCAAGGAGTAGTAATCACAGGATTCCCAGTGAGCTGTTATTAAGTAGGAGTTTCTTCCACCACTATAATCTGCATTTCTATTTACATACATTGAAGATCAGAGCAGGAATCGGAGTGAATCTCTGTATATGGATCATGGACAGAGCATCTGGAAGGTGACCCTCACGAGATCCCACAAAGAACAACCTGGACACAAAGGATACCATTTCTGCCATTTAAAGATAAATCTACCCGTAAAAATAAATGGTTAAAAAAAAGAAATCACCACAGTATATTTATTGCACTTCTTAAATCATTGCATATTTGTTTGTTCTACCTGGATGCAGCTATAATAGATGCATTGAGGCCTCCATAGCAGGACAAAGCCACAGCAATGGGAATGGTCCAGCTCATTACACCAAGCGTGTGATCAGCAAACGTCTAAGCAGTAAACAGAAACTGGTTCAACAACTTAAACTCAAACACAAGCATAGTTTTCCATTTCATTAGCTACTTTTCAGTTTGTTTACTCACCACTGCAACTGCATCACTGGCCAGTATAGCACTGACATCCAGAACAGCATAATAGGCAACATTAGTGAGGATGTAAATAATGGTGACAATCGGCATAGAGATGGCAATCGCCATGGGCAGGTTCCTGGAAAAACGGGGTATTTGATCAGGCTGAGTATTTTTGTCACATCTTTTCTACTGAGGAAAATAATAATAATATTATTAAAAAAAAAAAAAACACTGAAAAGAAAATGTACTTTTCAGGACTTTTGATCTCCTCAGTTACAAAGTTGAGAGTGTCCCAGCCAGAGTAAGAGAACAGGGCAGAGTACAGCGCCAATGCAATGTCACCGGGGTCGGTAGATGATCCCTGAAAGGATGATTCGAAGTTGCCTGTGTAGCCTAAAATGGAAACATGACAATCAAAGCAACAGTCTGTGAAATCTCATTGCATTCAAATTAACAGTGATAAGATGCCACAGATACACAGCATTAGGTGTTCTGGCGAGAAGTATGTTGATGGTTCCCGAGATTTCAGTTTGGTTTGTAGCACCAAGCAGTTATAAAAGGATTCTGAGGACACATTCGTATGATAATTAGTAGCTGACTTGAGGTAGCCCCTGCTTTATCACTCACTTTATTCTAAATGAACCTGTAATTTTCAAAATTTTATACCATATTCATTACGACATTGAACTTGCGATTAAGACCATAAAGTCCTTAGGAAAATGTTTACTGAAGCAATATCCAGAGTCAATTTGTCATAAACTTTCATGCAAAGATCTCTGCTTTACTCCTAAGCAGAAGTGTTATTATTTCTGAAGGCACTGCTGACCTTCAGAAATAATAACAATCTAAAGCAATCCATTAATCAGGATTAATGCATATCAATATGATTATACAGACCTTATCATTAATTGA